ACAGTGGGCATCCAGGCGGAAATTAGGTGAAAAATCGAAGTTGCTCCTAATTCAAATACAAATAGTGGAAAATGTAGCCCTTTCAAAGGGCTATCGAATGGTGTATAAATATCTATTTTGAAAATGGTTCCTACGACGAGAAATCACGGTACACAAAACCGATTACGGATATCGTTACTACATACGAAATAAAGATTCTTTGCTTACTCAATTATGGTACGCGACTTCAAAGCAGATATTCAGAACCAGCACGTCTTCAGCTATCTATTGATAATAAAATATTTCTATTTCGGCACCGAATTCAGTAAGTAAGAGCGACACGTTCTCCATCACGTCAGTCCGTAGTAACAGTACTCCAGTATAGTCGGGTGGCCCTCGTTAGCCTCACGCGAAAATAACATTCAAACGCATCAAAATGTTACTCAAATGCTACTCTATGTATTCTAAGATCGCAAAATCTCGCCTACTTTCCAAGGAGGTTTTATGAATTTCCCAAAATCCCAAGGGGTTTTCGCGTATTTCACATTTCTCTCTCTCATCAAAGCACTTTTTCGTACAAATAATTCCATATTCGGAATCACCGTGAAAAACTGCATCGAATGATGTATAGCTTTTTAATTTTTCTGCAGAAATATTTTCGATCAAATTGAATTATAAACTTGAAAGCTTGTCCACAGCAAATTTTACTTAGAAATTTGGATATTTATTTTAGCAGTAGTACACAAGTCTATAAACACATTTTTTATAGGTTTTCGAATATGATCTTTCGAATAGTGAGGTTCTCGAAATGCAAAAATATTTTTTATGGGTTTTCCAGAGATCCGGTCTCCAGAAAATCCACAAGGAATTACTTTTGAGTACTGAAAATTTCATCATTAGAAAGAGCATATTCGAAAACCTATAGAAGAACGTGTTTATAGGCTTTCATACCACTCCTACAGCATATGTCCGCCTGGTCCATAGAAAAATGCCCACTGTGCCTCAGTCGAACTAAGCTTTCCCAGTCACGGATTTAGGGTGCTGTCGAGGTATATAGTTTGTACGAAACCTTAAAAAGGTATATAGATAGTGACAAATGTTTAAACCTTTTCTAGGTTCGATATAGTACCTTTTTTTCTTACACTACGGTTACACTACGCAAATAATCACGATTATCTTTTAATCATGATTAAAGATAATCGTGATTATTTGAGTGGTGTAACTGTAGTGAAAGTTTAAACTAAACTAAACTGAAAAACCCAAATTCTTTGCTCAACATGCTTTTTCTCACCTTGTACTGATGACAAACAGCATAATAGAGAACTGATTCAATTAACTGATGAGGATTTGAACCACAGGCCTTATCCACAGGAATCGTGGAGATAACGAATAAGGCCACGCAATCGTTTGTTAACGTAGGGGAATGTAGGGGTGAGGGTGAGTAGGATTATGCAAGATTTGATGAAAGGATGACAAGCTGAAGCTGAAAGGATGACAAGCTGAAGGGATGGAAAGCTGAAAGGATGACAAGCTGAAGGGATGGAAAGCTGAAAGGATGACAAGCTGAAGGGATGGAAAGCTGAAAGGATGACAAGCTGAAGGGATGGAAAGCTGACAGAATGACAAGCTGAAGGGATGGAAAGCTGACAGGATGACAAGCTGAAGGGATGAAAAGCTGAAGGGATGAAAAGCTGAAAGGATATTTCATTGAATTTTGATCCCTTTTCTATATGACATTTTCTTCCTTCATTCTTTCCTGGACCTCCTGCAACTGAAATATTCGCACTCATCATCTATTAAGAACATTTCAAAAATTAAAGCTATACTCGGTTTCAGTTGCTTTATGCGTTGATAAATCCGAAGTCATATCAGATTTAAAGCCGACGATGTTTTATAAAGGTTTCTAAATAACTTTCGCAGTAAAGATAGATTTTTCTTCGGCTAACTGTCGCGAGGTAAAATGTGATATGTGTCAAATCCATTGACTCTTGTGAATCTGCACCAAGTGATTATGTTATTCTGTTTCTGAAATTGACGTTATGTGCTGACAGATGAATTAGTTATATTTCTTTTCTTAGATACTGTGGCAAGGCAAATACCATTCTGTTCTTAACATTGAAATACATAATTTTCTTTTTTCTTTCTTTAATTAATTCTTAATGATTTAAAAATATTGAATAAGAACTTTTTTGTTAGCTAAAATACTTTCTGTTTTTCCTAATCGGCTAAAACACGTCTATCACATACTTCTTATCCCCACATAGTGTTGTTTATCACGATTCTAAAAGAAAGAGAAAGATCTTTTTTCTTCTTCAAGATACAGTGTAAAACTTTTATGGAATTATTAAATCTTTGATAAAATATTTTCAGAATTATCTTCTCATGTATATCGAATATTTCTTCAACTAAATGCGACATACAAACAATGGTTTCGGACAACATTGGTCTAATGATTTATTTTGCCACTATTTTTTTTCTGGGTACAACTGGAAACGTCTTGATTTTATTAACTTTCATCAAGCGTTGTAGTTCATCAACATCGATTACATTCATTATCATTTTAGCTTGTGTAGATTTATGGATATGCGCCGTTGTAATTCCATGTATTGCGATAATGGAATATAATGAATTTAATGTTAATACATCACTATGTCGTTTTTATTCATTTTCAAAAATAATTATTATTATATCATCATTCATTATGTCGGCCATTGCATTCGATCGTTTTTTTATTATTGCTTTTCCTCATCATCGCGTTATGACACCACATCTTATCAAGATATTATTAACAATTGTCGTACTGATTGCATTATGTTTAGGTATATTAATTAGTCTCGCTTTTTCCACTCAAAAATGGTCTAATATTATCTTAAATTTTGACAAAAATACTACAATTTATTTTAACCTACCTTTTGATCAAACAAAATCTATTATTAATTTAAATTATACTCATATTGAAAATTATTCAAGATGTTTTTCTGACACAACTATTATAACGGAGAGAGTCCGTGATACATTAAAACGTGTAACAAATATAATATTTTTTATTTTAGTTGTAATCGTTTCTATATTATATACAGCAACATACATTCTTGCACTTCGACGTCAAGCACCACGTTTGCGAGCATTAAAAAAAAATATTTATATTTTAGATCGCTATGCTAGTGTACAAAAACAATTAATATCATTCTCATCTGAATGTTTATATGATAGACAAACATCAGGAAAAACCATGCCTATGATTAGAGAACATGTTTCTATAAATGAACTTGAACTAAATTCTAAATCATTTTCTGAAACAATACCATCGACTCAACAACAATATAAAAATAAAGTTTTTATCAAACAAAGATCATCAACATTAAAAAGACAATCATCATTTATTATTCGTTCTCAACAGTCAAGATACTCACGTAATATAAGCCCGACAAAAAATCCAATAAGTAATATATTAAAACGGCAACTACAGAAAAGTATAGTTAAACAAATACGTTTAGCATCTACATTTCTGTTAATAACATTGTCATTTATTATATTTTATTTACCATCAATATTAGGTGCTGAACGAGTAATTGTACAACCATTATTTATGTACTATTTATATTTGTTGACACACACTGTTAATCCATTTATTTATTGTTTTACAAATTCACATTTAAGAATCTATCTAATAACCAGATTAAAGACATATTTTTAAAAAACCAATGAAAATTACCCTTGTTTGTTTATTGTTTTGTTTCAATGTGATTTCTGTCACTATTTATTGTTACAACTATAACCAATTAGACGTTAAACGTCTAATTAGGTTGAAAAACAATAAATTATTGATTAGCAATTCTACAAGAAATGAGCTGAAGAAGTTTTTTTGTTTCTATGGCGAGAAAAAGAGGGTGGGTTAGTAAAAAAATGTCTTGTAACACAGAGCATTAGTTATGTTCTATAATGTATTCTAACATGGTCTCGTAAATTTGCTCCCTCGTTTTCCAACCACATCATTATTTTCCGATACTACGTCTGTGAAATACTATATAATAAACTCAACAGTTTTTCGATATACATCACACATACACTAATCGTTATTAAGAGCTGTATAGAGTGCTTGAAGTGTCTTGTCACTTTGCATATTATCTCGCAACTTATTCCATTACAAAAAACACATACTAATCTGCTAAAAATTCCTCATAAATCAGTTCATATAAATTGTACATATAGATGCACCACCGCTAACCATTTTACTAAAATTTTTTGAAAAATGAAGTTGTTCTAAAAGATATTTTGATCATTGTCAGTCGTTAGTGATCCTAAAAATCATGGAAATACGACTCTTCACACTATCGGTACTTCAGGTGGCTAGAGCGACAGCTTAAAAAGGTTGTGCAGAGGAAACATCGAATGTTCTTCGCAGTAGAATTATATTTTAGTCTAGGAATGTCCGTTTTTCTTGAAATTCTCAGGGGATGTCAGTCCCCCAAGAACGATTCACAGTAAAAAGGGGAAGTCCGCATAGGACTTGAAATCGGCCCACTAACTTTAACCGCTCCAATCAGTACAAAACTCAACAGAATCACATCTGATTATCATATTCGATGATTTCGACCCTTACGAGCGCTTTCAGTCGAATATACCCGACAGCCTGTCCAACGCGTGACGCTGTGACATTTTTGACACAGTAATTTGAGCTTTTCTCAAAACGTGTAACAGCTAGAAACTTCATTCGACGCAGCTCGCCATACTCTACTTTTAGTATAAAAATGAAGGTATGTGGTTAAAGACTCAAATTTTTAGAACCGTTTTTCGACGCGTGACGCTGTGACAAAAAAAGGCCCTAAATTCGAAGTTCTTCTAATTAAAAGCTAATTTGCTGCGAATTTACTACTGCGAGCTACTGATTGCTAAAAAAGAATCTTTCCAATGAGCTTTCCATCCTTCAATAATTGTGTTTTATCGTCGTAACGCTGTCACACACTTTTTTTCCAACAAAGTTTGGAGCACTAAACATTGCTCAAAGGGTTTCATTTTCACATCGGACTTAGTTTTAGCCACCTAATATAGAATATAGGCTAATGTGAAAATAAAGCTGAAAATATGTTTTCACTTTCTTAGAATTGTGTGAGAATCTTAAAACTTAAAACTTTATTAAAAAGCTTGTTTTGAGCCTAAACTTCAAAAGAAACATACCATCTTGTAGAGCATCGAATTTTCTATCGATTAGTGTGACCTTCAATTTTTATTAGGAAAAGTGTCTAGGTGAGAAAATTGAAAATACAGTTTTTAAAAAATGTAAAACTGGAGTTTTGGTGCCAACATTTTTTTAAAAGAAATAATACGAGATTCGTAATCAGCACCAAAAACTGCATCTAATGATATACTCCTTTCAGTTCTACTCTATAATAATTTTTTCAAAAACTTGATTAGCGAAGTGTCGAGTTACGTGGATAAAATTTACTGGCCCGACTCAGCCCAGATTTCTGAGAGAAATATTGAGCTCGATCTCGTTTCGTTCTCTCCCACTTCTCTTACACAAATGATGACACCGAATGCTTGATGGATTCTTTTGTCATCAACTTATTCGTTTCTGTGTGACAGCTGCTTATCTACTGAATATCACATTAAAAAATAAATCAAGGAAAATTCGACGATTACAAAATAAAATAAGATAGTCTTAAAAACAGTGGTTTCATTTTAATGGCAGAATCAAGCGAGACAAAACCGAACAGTCCTAGTTTGGACATGTGAATCGAATAAAAAACACTAGCAGAGAGCCGATGTTACCGTTGAAAGTAATTTTCTGCTTCTACAAAAATCTTGACCGTTATATGCCTTTGAATGCTTAATCTAGCTATAAAATTCATCTAAAATGTAGAAAAATAGCAATTTTACTTTTGATAATGAGCTAATAGTAAATTCTTAAAGGGTATTGATCAAAGGTTTGTATAAGCACCAAATATGAATCATCTAAATTCCTGTACGATACAAAGTTATTCAGAATTTTAAGTTTATACGACGTATAGTTGCCAACGTTTCACTACAACAGTATACAATTTTGCTCTCGGATTCTGAGAATCATTATTTATTCATCCTGATGATATTTTCACATAGAGAGCTATATAAAAACTGTTTCGAAATAGCGTCATTATTCTAGATTGAATTTCTATGATTGGCTTCCACTGACCAAGAAAGTCACATGCAAAAGTAGCGCTTCTATTAGATGCGAAAAACTATGTAATACATTTAACTGCTTTAATATATAAATTAAAAAAAACCATTACACTGGTTTATGCTAATACATCGACCAATGAATCTTTAATAGTTTTATTTGTTGTTATTGCATTATTACCACTTAAATTATGATGTTGTCCTAATTTGAACACACTTTCAATGACACTTATTTC